TGCAACAAGAGTTGTAGCATAATCTTATAATTTAGAGATTTTTAAGACTGCGCTTTGTGGTAGTATTATGAGTACTTTATCCCTGGTCCTGCTTGAGTTGGGCTGTGTGTCGTAGTGCCTGCCTCCACGGTATTTGTAGGGGTATTATACTGACCATGTTTAGCCAGGATACAGACTTTGTATTTTGATCCACAGTCCTGTAGTGTACTAAATTTCTTTATTTTCCATGTTTATTATTAGAGCTCTTGTTACAGCACTGACCATCGTTTGTAGTTCATTTCCTGCAAGTGACTTCATGACATAAAGTGCCTTCTTACTTGCTGAGCTTCACTGAGATTCCTTCTTTGTCAATTGAAAATGCAGTGCTTAATGGCAATTTCAAATTATTAGCGCGGGGCTGGGCAGGCCCTGTAGTTCTGCTGCCATCTTGTGGATATTAATGAAATAGATTAAGACGGAGGGTCAACAATGAGCATTTGTAAATGATTTATCGTACAAACTGGATAGTCTGTTAAGAATGTTGTAATACTGAGTTAGGGTGATCCAGAAGCTCTCATGTGAAGACCATTGCCTTGTCCTTTCTTCTGCTTCAAGTCCCTAGGCGTCTTGAACTGTGCTCATGAAAATCTGGTACAAGGAAACAGGCTTTCCTTAAATGCTAAAGTGAGAACTGCTGGAGACCCCGTAAGAGAATGTGATTCGGTGGAAAGGGAGCCAGGACGCAGTATCTTGAAAGAGCAAAAGAGAGATGCGGGTTGCTTTCAGATAACGACTGTTGCTTTCATTTCTGTGTTTTTGGAAGTGCCTTGTGCTACCTCAGTAAAGTGGACACATTTCTGTAATCTTTAATTTGTAGACATTGGAAACTCCAACCCTCCAAGGCCTTTCCTTCACCGCCAGACCCGGAGAATTGTTAGCTGTGATAGGTCCCGTGGGAGCAGGCAAGGTAAGTTTATAGTGTCATTTGGCAGCTTCTTGTAACGCTACATTTCATGTTGAATTCTTGGTGTTGAGCCGAAGCTGTGTGAACCAGGTATATCTGGAAGGGCATTTCTCAGTGTGTTCTGTGGCTTGTTAGTTTCGCAAGAAGATTGCATGGCCAAAGGAACCTGGGTGTTGTGAAGTACGTTGGCATTGGTGCTGGAAGCTGCGCAGTTGGAAGCTCCAGGTCCAGCAGCTGGGTAGGGCAGTGAAGGAAATTATTTCTGTGTCTGTCCTTTGGGATGGAATGAGGAAGTGGAGGCTTGTTTTTGCCAGAGTGAACCTTAGATCAGCCCAACACCAGGAGGTTGTACAGGGTTAAACATTTCTTCATGGGACTCACCCAAATCATGGCAGTGCACCTTTTTATAAAAGTACAGCCGTACATGGTGCAGTTTGGAGCAGCACGGGAGACAGACTCAGTGCCTGACTCTGCCCTCCAGAAGGTCCTGGTTCTGGGGCAAGACAGAAAGACAGAGATGGCTTCGGTGTATGTGTCATAAGCACTGATTAGTAGGCACAAGTATGTCTCGTCTGCATGGTGTAACAGACTCAGAGGAAACATGTACACACCCTTGCGCTTGGGCATTCTTAAACAATAAAGTGTGAAATCCCGAAGTTAGCTGTGTAAACAGTAGCGCGAATCACTTCCTTTTATGATTTTTGATCTCCTGAATTCCTTTAAATAAAAGTCTTCCCTTGTGCATTGGGCGCGTTATCTATGCTTAGCTGCTCGGGAACAAGAGCTGGAGGAAGCCAGGGATGCCTGGTGTGGTAACAGCTGCGCTCGGCGTTAGACACACGAGATCTGTGTGATGCGGGGCCCTGGTGTCACTGCAGACCTGTTGATCACCTGCATCAGCCTCAGTTACATACAGCGGCCCAGCGTAGCGTTTTGCTTGGAGGAAACCTATTTGGGCAGAGTAGACTGACACTTTTCACTTTGGTAGTATTCCTGATTAAACAAGAGTGTTTCCATCGACCCGTTTTTGTTGTGTTTAACTTTTGGCTGCAGTGTCCAGTGCTGTAGCTCATCCTGTTTTAAATGACAGACCTCACGGGGGTCAGACCCCTGGGGCGGGGCGGGGCCGGGCCACAGTGCGGGATTCACGCTGCTACGCGCTGACCACACAGTGTGTTTTCCACTCTCTTTTCAGTCTTCACTGCTGAGCGCGGTGCTCGGGGAGCTGCCGCCGAGCCAGGGGCTGGTCAGCGTGCACGGGAAGGTCGCCTATGTCTCCCAGCAGCCCTGGGTGTTTTCTGGAACTGTCAGGAGTAATATTTTATTTGGGAAGAAGTATGAAAAAGAACGCTATGAGAGAGTAATAAAGGCTTGTGCTTTGAAAAAGGTGAGTGATGACAGCTGGATTTTACAGACTGCAATTTCCAGTAGTAGTATTGGTAGCTTAAAATACAAGGTTTTGAAAAAGTTTGTTTTGAGATGCTTCTGCAGGTTATGCAATACCTAAAAGCTAGTCTTGTGAGAAAACATCTGCACACATTGCTGTAGCCCTGAGGTAATAATGACATTCATTGGATGCATTTTGGGGGGCTTTACTTTTTTTTTTTTTTTTTTTTTTTGGCGGAACCGGGGATTGAACTCAGGCCCTTGTGCTTGCCAGGCAAGCACTTATTCTACTGAGCCATCTCCCCAGGCCCCTTTACTTTGGTTTTATGAAGTTCTGTTTACTTTTTTTTTTTTTCTTTTTTCTGTTTACTTTTAACTTGTTTTTAAAATTAGACAACGACAAAAATTTGCTAAAGTATGCCAAGCAGAGGACTGAACCTGCTTGTCCTCATCTCCGGCTTCAACCACGTGTCCCTGGTGCCGGCCTGATGGCATCTGCACCCCGAGCCTTTGCGAGCGGCATCCTCCTGTACCTCAAGTGACTCTGGCAGGTCCAGCCCTGTGGATTACATTGTTTGTCTTTAAGAGATAAGAGTGTTTTTGAAAATAACAGTATTACATCTAAAGAAACGAGAAGATTCCTTGATACATCTGCTTTCCGTAGTCATTGTGTTCTGATCTTTAATTCCCATTAAGAAACCGCCACAGACTGGTCCAGGTCGGCCTCCAGACACTGTCTGTGCCTCTCGCATGGTTGAGGGGCTTTTTTGGTCTTTATGCTTCCCTCCCCACTTGGTTCTCAAATCCTATTTTATATTTTTAAAGACAGTGAAAGATTCAAAAATTCTTTTTTAGTGCTGCATTGTTTCACCAAGAGAAAAGGTTGTTTTCAGAAATGACATTTGAGTATCACAGAAAAGAAGGAGATGAAGTGTTTCATATCATGGGGGTTTACATAAAACTGGTGAGTGACTGAAAAAATCAGAAATAGCCAATAGGTGAATACAAGTTAGCCAAAGGACAAAGGCAAATACTGATGAACACTTCACCCTCTTTGGATTATAAAACTTGGTAAATAATGGCACCGAGGGAGCTCTCCACCGGGTCTGTTCAGTGTGACCCAGATGTCCGGCTGTTCTTTTGTATTCCAGAAAAGGCTGGACAGATTTTCAAAGGTGGGAGGTCAAGGCCCCCAGACAGCTTTGTGAGGAAAGAATAGTTTTGCCTGAGCAATGGCTTGAATATCACAGGTTGTATTGGTGAGTAGCATTTTAGGACAGTGTGGCCAAAAAAAAATTGCTTGTTTAGTGGACTTTATTGCCTTCTCCTAGGTTATTGTGAATGAGAGTGTGTTTTCGCTGATGGCATCAGGCCAGTGATGAGGAGCGAGAGTTTTGTTAAGCGGTGCATCAACTGATCAGGAAAGACGGGAGAGGCAAATAGCAGTAGTGTTACTAAGACCCATTTACTCAGCCTGCCATGCGTTAACTCTCCATTCGCATTATTGTCTCTTTTTGTACACAAAGGTGCATGATTTTTTGGTCTTCTACCACAGTTTCCCAGAGTCTTTATTTTTATTAGTACATATTTGCATTACATAATGATTACATTTTTAAAAATATTTTTGAGGGGTACCAGGGATTGAGCTCGGGGCCTTGTGCTTGCTGAGCAGGCTCATATGCCACTGAGCTACATCCGTGGCCCAGTGGTTGCATTTCTTCTAGAAAGCTGGCACCCGCGCACCACGAAGCTCAGCTTTTCTGTACCTCCCCCTCCTATGCTGCTGTTTCCTCTTAACCTTACCACCTGAAGGCAAATCTCTCTCCCTACTTCCTGTTACCTTTTTTTTTGTGTGTGTGTTTAGGAAGTGTTTTATTTATTTATTTATTTATTTTTTATTTTTCAACAAATAATACACTGCATATATTCTTCTTAGTGGTTAATTGCTGTACAAGATGCGGACTTGTGATCCCATTTACAAACACCATTAGAACAAATCATTCTATTCATTAACAGAATGTAACTATATATCTATCCCAACCACTTTGAATACACAGATACAAAATGGACATTCATCGGTATACCCCATTTTTTCTAAGTTCCGTTATTGAATATTATAGGTGTGTAAACTCAGCAAAATATTCTAAAAGAGTCCAGTAGCCCATAATAGCATTGGGTCTTCTGTTTAACTGGCAATGTCAGAAATTATTGACCTGAGTCCCCCACAGCTCAACTTAACAGCATGGCTTTATTTCTTATAATTTCGTCTTCATACTTTTCTGCTGGATGGTTAAGACCAAGGTAAAGCAGGACCTATGCAACAAGAGTTGTAGCTTTTTGGTCTGAGAAGGTCAGTGAAATGCCCTCAGGATTTATCCTGAGATCCTGTACCTCAGATTGTAGAACCTTTATCAGTGCAACCAAGGGGAAGAAGCAACGCCAATACTTGGCCAATGTGCTCTCTGTGAAAGCCTGAGAGAGTATCTTCTCCCCATGTGACTCTCCTTAGGCCCACTCTATGTCATTGATCACTTTGTTACCTTTTATTTTGCTTTTTATGTGTATTTTGGGCTTTTCATGTGACAGAAACCATGTAGTTTTTAAGCTTGTGTGCCTGACCTGTTTTCTATGTTATGATCCCAACTCATCCATTTTCCTGCAAATGCCTCCCATTTATCCTTCACAGCAGAGAAGTGCTCCAGTGTGAGTTAATACCACATTTTCTCTATCCATTCTTCTGTTGGTGGATGCATGGGCTGCATCTAAGATTTAGCTATAATGAATTGTGCTTCTATAAAAACCAGTGTGCGCGTGTATTGCTGTGATATGATGTCTTTAACTCTTTCAAGACGATACCTAGAAGGGGAAGGACTGGATCAAATGGAATTTATTTTTAGATTTTGAGGAATCTCCATACTGATTTCCATAGTGGTTGCACCAGTTTCTACTCCCACCAGCAATATAAGAGCAACCCACCTGGCCCCTACTCCAGCCTCAGCAGCATTTGTTACACATTTCTTGACGACATCCATTGTTTCTGGGGCGAGATGGAATCTCAGTGTTGTTTTCATTTACATTTCTCAAACGACCAGTGATGTGGAATGTTTTTCATATATTTGTTTGATGTTTGTATTTCTTCATCTGAGAAATGTCTGTTCCTTTCAGATGCCCATTTTTGCATTGGGTTTTTTAATTTGGAGGCTCTATTTTTTGAGTTCTTTGTATATTCTAGATCTCTGCCTGAGGAATAGCTGGGAAAACATTTTCCCATTCTGTAGGCTGTGTCTTCACTCTGTGGTTTGTTTCCTTTGTTATAGAGAACCATTTGTTGATTCTTGGTACTGTTTCTTGTGCCATGGGGGTTCTCTTCAAAAAGTCCTTGCCTATGCGTATGGCAAGAGTTGTACCTAGAGTTTTCTCTTTTAGCAGTGGTATGGCTGGTATCAACATGTTCCTCAAAGCCTCATGCAGTTTCAGATGGGGCTTTTCAGGGTGACTGAATCTAGGTGCAGTGCTAGGATTAAGGGGGCTGGGACTAAGGGTGGGTGACTGCTGGATCAGTCCACTGATTGTGTTGGCACTGTCCTAACCCCAATAGACTGGATACAGTATAAGGGGCAGAAAGAGGCTATCTCTTGCTCTTGCTCCTTTTGGTGTCTTTTGCCATCATGAATGGTTGCCCCTCTGCCATGTGCTACCCTGCCTTGGAGCCAGCTGATAATGAACTATGAGCTAAATAAACCTTCCCCTTTAACTTTGGGTGTCAGGCATTTTTGTCTCAGCAATGAGAAAAGTAACTAAGACAAACAGAATAAGTGCTTCTGTTTGAACATTTGGATCCTTTGATTTGTTTTAATTTTAGTTTAGTACATGGTGAAATATATGGATCTAGATCCATATGTATTTTCGTCTTCTGTATGTATATAGCCAATGTTCCCAGTGCCATTTCTTACAGAGTCCATCTTCCCTTTAGTGTATATTTTTGGCCCTTTTGTGAAACATTAGACACATGCCTGGAGCTGTTTCTGCAGCTTTGATTCTTTTTTTTTTGTGGAACCAGGGATTGAACTCAGGCCCTGGCACTTGCTAGGCAGGCCATCTCCCCGGTCCCAGCATCTTCAATTCTCTTCCATTGATGCATCTGTCTGCATTTGTGCCAGTGCCGTGATGTTTGTATTTCTGTAGCTTTGTAGTGTAGCGTCAGATCTGGGGTGTGGGGCACCCTGCTTTGCTCTTGATAGCCAGGATTGCTCTCGCTATTCTGTCTCTTTTGGCTCCATATAAATTTTAGGATTGTTTTCTGTAGTTCTATGAGGACTGCTTTTAGAATTTTGATTGAAATTGTATTAAATCTGTATATATAAGCTGTGGAAGTATGACCATTGTGATGGTATTGATTTTACCTATCCAGGACTAGGAGCTAGCTTTCCATTTTGTGGTGTCCTCTTTAATCTCCTTTTTCAGAGTACTGTAGGTTTTGTTTTAAGTCTTTTACTTCCTTGGTTAGGTCATTTCCTAGTAATTTTTGTGATGCTATTATGAATGGTATTGTTTTTCTAATTTCTTTCTCAGTGAATTCATTATTGCTGTTGGTTTTTGTGTTTTGTTTTTATATCTTGCTTCATTGAAGAGTTAGATCATTTACTTGAGAAGTCATTTGGTAGAAGTTTTTGGTCTTATATGTAGAGTATCGAGTCGAATATAATAATATGACTTCTTTTGCTATACATAACCCTTTTACTTATTTCTCCTACCTGATTGCTTCAGGCAATGTTTTGAAGACATTGTAGAACAGGCGTGATGACTGTGGACATCCTTGTCTTGTCCATGATTTTAGAAGGAAAGCTTTCCTTTTTCCCCCCCTACTTGATAGGATGTTGGCAGTAGGTTTGTCATAAATGGCTCTTATCAGATTGAAATAAAGTCTTTCTGTACCTATTTTCTTTTTAGAGTTTTTTTTTTCCATGAACAGATACTAGATTTTTGTCAAAAGCCTTCTCT